TGGGGGCTAAGGAAACACTTATCTCCCTGAGCGTGGCCTTCATAACACCATTCCATCACACTCCCTCACCCTTCTGTGCTGCCTGGGACTCAGCTCATTGCCCAGGCAGAGAAGAGAGCTGGTTCCTCACACTGGAAAGGCTTACTCAGAAGGAAGTAAGGAAGGGACCAGAGACTACTCAAAAAAGGAGTTGCTTACATGCTCACAGCCAAGGCTGGAAGGCTTATTGAAACTGTTGGTGTGAGTGCAGGAAAGCAAGCCTCAAACTGCTGCTGTTAGATTCATTTACTTCCTTGGTTAGAAATTTAACCTGTTGCTTGGTGGAGCTAAAATAAGCTTCTCTTGCTCTTGTACTGATTTGGGTTTCCTGTTTGTTTAACACACTTATGCCATGAATAACCTGGATAAAAGCATTGTCTGAATCCAGATAGTCTGTTACTCAGGAGAAATTACTTCTCTTCACTCAGGCCTCAAGCTATATACTCCTCCCTGTTTGTATACAATATCCTTGTTTACCCATTCATGCCATTTGAGAGGCTGATCATTCTAAAACTGCAGTCTGCTGCCAAACTTTATGACAGCCTAACCAGACTTTAGCAGCCGACTTCTGTAGGGTCATAATTTCATAGGCTCTGAAGGTTTTTAAATTAGAAATTGCCTTTTCCTGTAACCATTAGCCCTTGAATATTATTAGAATAATTGGACCAGTTTTTCTCATCAGGTCAAAACAAGCCACATCTATATAGGTAGGTCCTCCCAGCAGATCATGGTTACGCACCACCTCATTTCCTGAATAAGTTTTCCACAAAATCTATTTAGTGTCAGAAGGTACTTTACACAGCTGAAGGGAAAGAAAGCAAGCAACAGCAGGTATCAGGTTAATTCCACGTATGGCAGATGGAATTATTCTTTCTTATAAAGCAATCAAGGTATTAATGATACTGCTCAGTTTGTCATATGATACAGAAGAATAATTAATTGCTCTACAAAATAGCAGCAGTTGACATGGTGGCTTTTATAAGTGGAAGCTTATTATAAACTAAATGGCTTCACTCACTACAAACATAGCACTTACTGTCAGTACAAAAAATACCTTTTAATGAACCCTGCAGATCCCAAACCTGTTATTATAATTGTGTTGCCTTTATCATAAAAACACATTTCCAATTCTTCACTTCCATCACTGGCTGAACTTGGGCCTTCTTGTATGAGGATACCAACATACTTCCATTCAATTGTTCGCTGTGCTTAATGAGATAGTGATGGTGCTACTAAAAAGCTGTCATTTGCACAGAGACCCAGAGAGTCGGGGAATAATGGGGTTCCATTTTAATCAGAGGGCTGGGCTTTGTTCCCAGTAGATTGAAATGAGAGTCTGCAATGAGTGCTCTTTCTGATCCCACCCACTCCACAGTTTTATACTGCTCCTTCTCAGAACAGAAAGGCAAAAAGCCCACATCTGATTCTACTGTAAAACTCTTTGTCCTGTTTAACGTGAAAGGTTACTATTAGTGCACTGACTGCAATCCCTTTATATTCAGATGAAAAGAAATGTAGATTGTGTTAAGATGTAGGCTCCCTTTTAACTTTGAAGGGTAGTAGGGGAAGAATCAGAAGTAGATTTTGAACAGGGAGTGAAAGCCTTGATCTTTACTGTAACAGTTGTACCACAGTGGGATACTAAGAGAAAGAAGTTATTTAGTGGGCCCGGCTTACCATCTAGGGGTTGGTTCATTTCACAAATATGGTTTCTATGATGTTACAATCTGATTTTAAATACCTTTAGTGACAAGTAAGATTGAATTCAG